AGTTTCAAAGAAAACGTGACAAATGGAATCGGAACAGGACAATGGGACGAATATGTAAGACTGACACTTTCTTGTCTTGTTATCAAATCAGATTTCTATTTTCACGTGACAAGAAACTACCTTGTAAAAGACATCTATACTATATTTATATAAGTATTACATATTTCATGTTTGAAAGTTCACCATTATATCAGACATCATATTATTTATTTCTCCCTTTTTATTTGTCATCATTTCTTTGAAATAACATACTCGATTAAATACTTATTTTTCTTTCATTACAAATGAGAAACATGTCATTATGAACAAGCAATGATCCCATTAATTCCTCTTTCGGGAAATCGATTTTCATAAAAAAAATGTTATCTGATTTCCAAAAGTGTGCGGTGAATTATTGGAAATAGCTATCGAGCATATCATATTATTTCTTCCTGGTTTGCTTTTTAACATCCTGCATTGAATTATATTTACGTCATACAATATTCAAAATAAATACATAAACATATTCAGTTATAATTGACTTCTTAACGTATTATTATTATTATTATTATTAATATCTGTCATATTTTGCGGTCCGGATCGGAATATCCGTCCCGAGGTGACCCGCCCATTGGGCGGTAACGAGGCTTGCCGAGTTACCGCCCATGGGCGGGTGACCGAGGGACGGATATTCCGATCCGAACCGCAAACATATGTCAGATATTTTTTCTTGCATATTCTATCATATTCCATTATATTTTAAATTCTTTATCTTTATTTTCAATGAAAATTTATATCATTACAACCGTAACTACTTTCATTCAACAGCGTATGAATTACAAAATCATTCATAACGGTAAAATGACGTCATCTTTATCGTGCCATTGTACAGCACGCGACTCATCTGGAACCCCAATGCCAGATGAAATTTCCGGCATGGGTAAAACTAACGGAAACGCCAGTCTGATATGCAAGAATATAATATCTCCACCAAACATAGTTTGATATTATTATTATTATCTATTTATTTAGTTATCTAATTTTATATTTTGAAAATCCTGATTGGTTGTTTTACATTATTTAGTCACTTTTTATTCGACAGATAGATAGTGACCCTAAAGCGTTTTCATAACTTAAATTTTGGATATTTATCTCTTCAATCATGCAAAGTGTAAACTAATTATATTACTAATTACAATCTTGCTTCTTGCTTCAAACTATGGGATACGTACATATTTTAGTACATTTATCTGTAGATAGATAGTACATGACTGTGAGCATTAACTCGACGGTACAGATATGTAGCTTGATGTGATATAATTATGGTCATGTCCAGTTTAGCTACCTGTAAGAACTTGAAAATAATGAAAATGAAAAGATTTTATTGCAAATGGATTAACAGAAAACCCTACCTGAAAGTCTTAAACATAAACACATAAAATTTACATTCTTTTCGCCGATCATTTGGCATTTGGCACCTTGATCAATAAACGTTAAATATTTTTCTTCATTTTTCTTAAAATATGGTATTCTCTTAGAAAAGCGTTCTATTCTTATTTCATGTAAGTGCAGTGTGATATTAGAAAAAGTGTGCACACTTATCCGTTACTTCGAAACTTTTGTTTCTCTTCATTAAAAGCTTATGTAATGACAAGTAGAATTCCATAATGTTGGAAGTCTCACAGAGCACGTACTATTTAAGACACGTGTTACTAATGCGAGTTCATTTTAATGCTCGACGCTACCCAGCTGCTTGGAGCACGATGATCTGTAAATCACAAAAGTGTTTGTATTTGATTTATGTAAATTAGTGTTTTAAAGATATCTTACTAATCAATGTCGGTCATAAGTCGGGAATACTTGACTCTAAAACAAGTATGGTAATCACCCTTATTTTAATTCTATACGTTTGTAGTATTTAATGATTCTTTTTCAAAACTATCACTTTGTTTCCAGATTTTCATACTTCACGACAGCAGGTGTCAAGTGCTGTGTGGCGGCTGTAAAATGTTGCCCCGTACTTCACTTCAGTGTTGTTATATTTTTCTGGTCATTCGGGATCATTGATGCCAGTACTATTAAGTGTTGAGAATTGAGTACCGCTCAAGCCAGTGCTAGGGGGCGTGAGGGATGTTGCATGTATTCATTGTCCCTTATGTACAAACTTAATCAAACAGAGTCTGTAATTCTCTTGTCATTTTGTTGTGATTAATGCTTCCGAAGGATCACTTTGTTTCCAGATTTGTATATATTTCAGGTCTGGTGTTTATATTATGATATTGATATAAGATATATAAGATGAACACATGCCACTATCATAAAAGTTTTTCATGTTTAAATGTTGAATACTACTTAAGCCGGTGCTAGGGGGCGTGGACAATAGTTTGCAATTTCTACTGCCGTAGATGAACAGGGCAATCAAATCGAGCCTGCTGCATTTTCAATTTTGCTATTTAATTTATGTTACGGTATTGAATTGTTCACTAATTAGGGTAGATAGTATTAAAGCGGCCGGATAGCTCAGTCGGGATGGCCGCGGTACGGTATTCTTCGGGTCCCAAGTTCGAGTTCGTGTCTGGCTGCACATTTTCCTCACAAATGAGACATTTACTTACTTACCTTCTTACTTATTGTCCAACAGTTTTCACTTGGCACTTTATTAATTCTAGAAAAGGTCTGTTGATTAACACTGATATCTTCCGAATATATCGATATATTTGTTAACTTTATATTTATCATTTAGTGATAAGCCTGTCCGTGCTCTGCCTTGTGCCCTGTCCTGTTTGTGTTTCGGGTCCGCCTGGGCTCCTTGCCACTGGTTCTTGTTGCTGGGTCGTGAGGGGGTTGCGTTCATTGAACGCCACCTTTCCTTGTTGATCTTGTTTATCATATTTTACATGTAAGCGAGGTGTGGTGTATTAGTATAGACGCCGGGCTACCGATCTTGAGATCTCTGATTCGATTCCTTACCAACGCCACGTTTTTGAAATACACATTATTATCATCTTTCCTTCTTTTTAATCTACTTGCAAGTATTAATTTGAATTCGTTTTACTTCATCTTGTTTTAGGATACCTTTTTAGAAGTGTTTCTTTATACAATCTTATTTCATATTTAATATATTATCTTCAAAAACGTACAGCGCATTAATAATACAAATCAATGAATCGACTTGTCAATTCCACTGGCATATTCAGTCGTACCGCCTATACATGCAGTTTAAATGGAATAGAAATTTTAAAATTCAAATATATATGCTAAAAGTACGGAATGCCGTTAGGGCCATTGCCTATGAATGTGTTGATCTGAAACGCGATAGTCGATAATACGATGGTGAAAACGCGAAATCACGACACTACGATGGTGAAAACGCGAAAGCACGATGATGAAAACGCGAAAGTACGATGGTGAAAACGCGACAGTACGATACTACGATGATGAAAACGCGATAAACTATCGTGTTTTCACCATCGTACTGTCGCGTTTTCACCATCGTAGTTTCGTGATTTCGCGTTTTCATCATCGTACTGTCGTGTTTTCATCATCGTACTATCGCGTTTTCATCATCGTACTATCACATTTTCATCATCGTACTGTCGTGTTTTCATCATCGTACTATCGCGTTTTCATCATCGTACTGTCGTGTTTTCATCATCGTACTATCGCGTTTTCATCATCGTACTATCGCGTTTTCATCATCGTACTATCGCGTTTTCACCATCGTACTATCGCGTTTTCATCATCGTACTGTAGTGTTTTCATCATCGTACTATCGCGTTTTCACCATCGTACTGTCGTGTTTTCATCATCGTTGTATCGCGTTTTCATTGTCGTACTATCGCGTTTTCACCATCGTAGTTTCGTGATTTCGTGTTTTCACCATCGTACTATCGACTTTAGCGTTTCAGATTAACACAATTATAGACGGTGGCCCTAACGGTATTCCGGAATGCCGTTAGGTCCATCGCCTATGAATGATTTGATCTGAAACGCGATACTCGACAGTACGATGATGAAAACGCGAAATCACGAAACTACGATGGTGAAAACGCGATAGTACGACAATGAAAACGCGATAGTTTATCGCGTTTTCATCATCGTAGTATCGTACTGTCGCGTTTTCATCATCGTACCATCGCGTTTTCATCATCGTGCTTTCGCGTTTTCACCATCGTAGTTTCGTAATTTCGCGTTTTCACCATCGTACTATCGACTATCGCGTTTAAGATCAACACATTCATAGGCGATGGCCCTAACGGCATTCCGTATAAAAGTGGATGAACAAGGATTTTTGAATGGGGATCAGATTTTTTGAAGCCTGCATATCAAAATACCTAATAAAGTATGCAACATATCCTAAGGGTGATAATATGGTATTCAAGTGGGAATACTGGAACCAACCGAATGAAAAACAGTCAATCAATAACTAAAAATACCACAAGCAGAACAAAATGGCGTGTTGAACGATCTTTAACTCTTTCGCTGCCAGAGGGTTATTGTTGTATTGATCACCTATTTGCCAGAGGGTTTACTAAGAAATTACTATATTATTAATTAATATAATTATTATTATTTGTTATTAGCATTATTATTAATTAATTATTATTACTATTATTATTATAGAAACGGCTATGGCAAATACGCCAAAAATAACAGGGACGGCATAAGCCTATGGCAGTGAAAGGGTTAAGGATCGAAAAAAAACACCCCTGACTGAATGTACGGGGCAAACTTTTACAGCAAAAACGCTGATGTAGCGATAAAATAGACCTTAAGTATGAACATTTCTAAATGATATATGTAGAAAAGTAATGTTTGTATATGAAACATCTTTTCATTATTTTTAGGGAGGACAAGTCCGGATATGAAATGGCTTCTTTGAAATCGACAAACAAAGAGTAAGTCTTTGATATAAGTACTATTTAAATTTTGAAATATGTCAAAGTACAATAATTTTTATAATGATCCGGAAATGATCCCTCAGAAGTATTAAAAAACAACAAATTTATATGAAAATTGCAGACTCGGTTTCTTTGTCAAATTCTATGTCAGATTTTTCCGATTTAACGTTGGGTTTGAAAATTTCAAAGAAGTAGATTAACTACATATAAGATTTTTAAATTATTTGTTAGGAGTACGTAAACAGACACCAAATATGGCAATTTATGGGGAATTAGGGATATTTGTATAGTATATTGTTGCAAAAGAGGGAACACTCAAATACTGGTTGAAAAATAAAAATTCTGTAAACATGCCTATTTTGATGCTTATATTGACCAATTCAACAATGTAAATATTTCTTGTTCGGCAAGTCGAATTCATTCCATTGTAGATCACCTTGGATATTCGCATATAAGACTAATCTTTGATACAAGTATGAATTATTTTCCTTTGTTAAAAAGAACAGTACGTGATCAATTTATACAAGAATGGAATACATCGCTAAATAATATATCTTAATTAGATTTTTACAGACAATTTTTAAACAACATTTAGCTATGAAACTTATTTAGATAAGATTACCAATGATATGCATAGAAAACAATTAACATGTTTAAGACTTTGTTCACACACTTTAGGGGTAGCACTAGGCAGATATAGTAGATTAGATAGAGAAAATCGTCTATGTAAAATGTGTTATCAAAGTGTAACAGAAGTGGAATATCATTTCCTCCTATGTTGTACAAAATACTCTCAAATTCGCCAGAAATACCTTGGCAACATATCATGGCCTTCCTTGAATGAATTTAATAGCATTATGTCTTGTAACAGCAAAAAAGAAACTGATTTTTTTATCGAAGTTTATTAAATAGGCTTTTGAATTGCGTAAAAATACCCTTGAAACTGTAACTGTTTCATGAAAGTCTTTGTTTGTATGAATTTGTATTGTTTTTACTATTTTGTATTGTATGTCTTTGCCATACTTTATGTGTTTTCTTTGTAAATGGCCAAAGGACAAAGGATAAATGGCAAATAATGTACAAGATAGCTTTAACATTTTCAATTTTGCCGTTTTGGATTTTCTTTAGGGACTCTTACATTCTCTATTTTGTCGCCACATCAGCGTGGTTTGTAAAATTTCGCCCTGCACATTCAATCAGAGATGTTGTATTTTAGATCCTTAAAAATCGTTCAACACGACATTATTGTTGTGTTTGCAGTATTTTTAAGTTTCAACTATTTGGTTTTTTGATTTGGGCGGTTCCAATATCCCTACTTGAATAATTGTGAATCATCCTTAGGATATGTTATCTGCTTTTTAACTTTCTCTTTTAACGTTTAATCTGCGATATGCAAGATTCTGATCCCGTTTTAAAATTCCATTTTATTTAGATCCGCCCATTGCTTTCTCGTTTAGGGCACACGCTTTTTATTACTTGGGGTACATACGCCGCTTTTCATGGAATGGCACTTACGTGTCACATTAAAGGTTCCTTGATAACCTCCGTATGAGCACATGTGCCGATGTTTCTAAATTCAAAATGGTGTCATTTCATGTTTAAATTTTGAATTTTGCTTAAGCCGGTGCTAAGGGGGAGGCGTAAATTTTAGTTTGCACTTGACAGTACCTTCAATGAACAGGTGTTATCAAACCGAGGCTGCAACATTTTACGTTTTGCATTTTCTTTATGGGTTTTCTCTATTTTTGGACAATTCCATCCAAATTTGTTTTATCAAGATATGTTTGTAAAACATGTATGCCCCCTATGGGCAGGCAATTAGTCATGTGATCAGGTTATTATGCATGACTTCTGACCAAGTGAACAAATAACCAATATGGGGTCATCTACTGGTCATGACCAATCATCATATAAAGTTTGAAGTTTCTAGGCATAAGTGTTCTTTAGTTATTGATCGGAAACAGTTTTTACTTACAAGGTCAACATTAACTTGACCTTTGACCCCAAAAACAATAGGAGTTATTTACTGGTCATGACCAATCACCATACCAGGTTTGAAGTTCCTGGGCCTAAGCGATCTTTAGTTATTGATAAGAAACCGCTTTTACGTACAAGGTCAATGTGACCTTGACTTTTGACCCCTTGACCCCAAAATCAATAGTGGTCCTCGTATGGTCATGACCAATGACCATACCAAGTTTGAAGTTCCTAGGCCTTAAAGTTCTTTAGTTATTAATTGGAAACCATTTTTACCTACAAGGTCAATGTGACCTTGACATGTGACCCCTTGACCTTAAAATCAATAGGGGTCATCTACTGGTCATGACCAATCACCATACCAAGTTTTAAGTTCCTAAGCCTAAGCGTTCTTTAGTTAATGATCGGAAACCGTTTTAACCTAGAAGGTCAATGTGACCTTGACCTTTGACCCCAAAATCTATAGGGGTCATCTACTGGTCATGACCAATCACCATAAAAAGTTTGAAGTTCCTAGGCCTAAGCATTCTTAAGTTATTGATCGGAAACCGTTTTTACCTACAAAATCAATGTGACCTTGACCTTTGACCCCTTGACCCAAAAATCAATAGGGCTCATTTAATGGTCATGACGAATCTCTACACCAAATTTGAAGTTTTCAGGCGTACGCTTTCTTAAGTTATTGATCAGAAACCGTTTTTACCTACATGTACAGACTCAATCAAACCAAGTCTGCAATTCTTATGTAATTTTGTTGTGATTAATGCTTCCGATGGATCACTTTGTTTCCAGAATTTTGACCTTTGACCCCTTGACCCCAAAATCAATAGGGGTCATCTACTGGTCATGACCAATCACCATACCAAGTTCGAAGGCCTAAGCCTTCTTTAATTATTGATCAGAAACCGTTTTTACCGACAAGGTCAATGTGACCTTGACCTTTGATCCCTTTCCCCAAAATCAATAGGGATCATCTACTGGTCATAACCAATCACCATACTAAGTATGAAGTTCCTAGGCCCAAGCGTTCTTTAGTTATTGATCGGAAACTGTTTTTACTTACAAGGTCAATGTGACCTTGACCTTTGACCCTTTGACCCCAAAATCAATAGGGGTCATCTACTGGTCATGACCAATCACCATACCAAGTTTGAAGTTCCTAGGCCTGAGAGTTCTTTACTTATCAGTCGGAAACCATTTGGTCTACGGACCGACGGACCGACAAATGCAAAACAATATAACCCCTCTTCTTTGAAGTTGGGGCATAATTAAGATAAGATAAAACATTATATTGTTTGAAAGGAATTATGCATGGAGTCAATGGTAATGTACCAGTTGTATATGTAGACAATTGAAGCTTGTTTTCAGAAACGTTGCATTTAAAAAGAAAACTATCATAATGATTGTAAAATAATAATTGTAATGCATAATTCCGATTTCATTATCTGTAGGGATAATTCCGAGGATAACATGGCTCCCATGACAACAGCAAAGGAAATGTATGTGCTTTGATATAGCATGTATGTTTCAAAATTTTGAAAAAAGAAATATGGTTGGATGTTGCACATTCTCATCAATTGGAATGTGGTGGGGTTTCAATTAATTTTGAAATAGTTTCTGGATTTGGATAAGATGGTCAGATGTCATTAAACGAAGTACATTTTCTTCTTAGTTTCAGTGTATCAATTGTCTCCTAAGTTATGAATATGTGCAAAAATAAGTGAACATTTCCCTTTAAATATGTTGGTGGAAACATATCTTTATGATATGTGTAGAAAAGTACAAAATATGTGTATATAAAACACCCTTTCAATATTTATAGGGAGGACAAACTCGGAGATAAAAAGGCTTCTTTGATATCGACAAACAAAGCGTAAGTCTTTGATATAAGTATTAATTATATTTCATAATTATCGTATTTTATAACGGCATATGTTTGACTATTGCATATTCTTATCGACTGGAATGTAAAGAATATAAATACCTTTTAATGAATTACTAAATAACTACGAGATTGTGATACGATGGTAAGAAAATGAATATAAGTTAGACGTTAGACGCAGAAATTAACGTCTTTACATCATTTTATCTTTTTATTTGAATAGTTAAGACATAGTTTATTTGGCAATATTGACCCTAGGCAAATTATTTTCGGGAGGGGTTTCGTCAGTTTCCGTAATTAATTACAATTTTTTCATTAATTGTTAAAGTAAGTTAAGAGCACACGCTTTCTTTAACTTCGGAATAATACGCCTCTTTTCATGAAATGACACGAAAGCGTCTCATTGAAGTATCCATGATAAACGTCATATAAATACTCTATATTTGTTTTTATATTTATATTACAGCGCGGATAGACGTGAAGAGGGCAATTCTTCAGTAATTACACAAAACGAAGGGTAAGATTGTTACATATTGTTTTTTTTTTACTTTATATAAATTAAGTTTTTTTTTAAATTTAAGTTATAAGCAATTTCAGTAGTACGAAGTTTCAAATTTCTTTTAAAATTTACATTATTTCAATTGTGTATCACAGATATGATTTCCATGAAAACGTAAATGACATCCAAAATAAACATAAACGTCCATAGATAATTCTTAACAGAAATTATTATTTTGATATACATAGATAATAATCATTTTTGATAAACATGTGTGAAAATTGACTAGCAAATACGAAGTAATTCTATAATAAAAATAACCCCTGAAGTGGAGTTTATTTTCTTTCTTGTTTCTCTTTAAGGCCATTTCCAAAAGCTGATCAGTGAAATCAAGCAGACTGTTAACTTATTTCCTTTCAATTGTTTTTTTCAGTTTTGTTCTACCATTTCTCTCCTTACACATAATATGAATTCAATTCTAATTAACATGCATATAGCTATCAATGAGTAAACACACTGCAAATTTTCCTAAAATGTGGCATAACTGGAAAATGTATCTTTTTGCGTTAACAAATATTAAGATAACAAAATCAGTTGCCTATTAATTCAGCAAATTTTACACGATGAAATGTAATATTGATTAAACTATAGATTGTAAGCAGATTATTATTCAGATTGTGGATGGTTCTAAAATGTGTCCTTAATTTCGTGTGCTGATTATGATTATATACACCACTTGCGAAACCCTGGCAAATAGTATACAAGGTAGCTACTTACCACTTATGACCACCTAGCTGTGTCTATCTAAATATACCTTGTAAAGTTAAAACATACAACTAGATTAAATAATATCAAAGGCAACATCTTTGGTATTTAATGATTTGTTTTCACTTGTTTGTAATATAGCGGGGACAACAGAGAAGTGGGGATACCTACAGAAATAAAACCAAACATGGGGTAAGAGTTGTAGAGAAGTATTCTTTGACAGTTTGTTACAAACTTACGTAATAACTTTTTACATTTAGATCGATTCATTAAGCTTGAACTTAAAACTAGTAATCTGACATTTCAACTCTATATTCAGGTTTCAACATTTTTTTTAATTTGCAACTGTTTATTACCGAGATGATATAGATAAAGGTTGAGATAAATCTCAGATAATTATTCTATAATGACATGATTGTTTTATGTTAACCTTTAGTTTTAAATTTTTTATGAAATATTTGAATACACTACAGTATGTATGAACAAAATAAGTATTTGAAAAAATATTTTTCATCATTTTAAGTGATGCTACGCCAGAAGATTCATCGATTCATTTAATAGCCGCAGATGATAAGTTAGTATATCTATGTTTTATAAATGTTAAAATAGAATATATATTCCTATAAAGAAGTATTGTTGGCTTTTGCGTGTTGTTACAATTAAAATTGAATGTGGATTTATCTTACCGAATTACGAAATAATTTCCAGAAGGTGATATGATAGCAAAGATAGCAAAACGATTATCATTCTTTGACAGTTCAGTTACAGACAAAAAAAAAATGTTGTTTTTTTTTTATTTATTCAGCATCTGTTACACCTTTAATACTTGTTGCACAGAAACCACTAGTCATATGTGGATTAACATTTAACTTATCGACTGCATATTTTATAATCCTTTCGTGTGTTGAGTTTGATCTTAAAAGCTAAGTAAATGTAAAATGTAGCTTATTGACATTTGCATCCAATTTTATTAAAAACTAAACATAAACTATAATTTGTTTGATACATCAATCATCGTATTTTCTTCTAGTTCTTTCCTTATTGCAATTGCTGAGACGTACAGAAGTATGTTTTTCACAAAGCAAACAATAGTCATATATATGAATGATAACATACTTACAATAATTGAATGATTGTAAGTCGCTTTGGAAGTTGAGTTTAATCATAAAATCAATTAACATGTTTCATTTAACCAAAAAAACTTTAAGGGAAGATCTCGACATTTGATTAGTCCGTTTCTGGTTATAGCGTACAAGGGAAGAAGCAAAAGAATAGTATGTCTTTTATAAAAGTATAATAACTATATAAAAAATGTTAGTTTAGAAATATATTTTGATAAAGAAAATATGTCATAGACTATTAACTATTCTTGTATCATAGTTTGGAGACCTTTCTGTTGAAAATGTGTCAGGGTTAACTCGTATACATATACATGCACAGTGCGTTAACTGGAGTGCGGGTATTAGTTACCCGCACTCCAGAGCATGCCCATTGATTGGATCATTTTTGCTGGGGTTTACATATTGTGACGGCAGTGAAAGTGAAATCGACAGAAATGTCATATTTAGATGCTCGTTCATTGGTTCATTTTTGCCGGGGTTTCATATTGTAACAACAGGGAATGTTTGACTATGATACAAAAGAGAAAGAACACCAAAACACTCGGTAATCTGATTAATACTCGGGGGGCTACGCCCCCTCGTACAAATCAGATAACCTCGTGTTTCGGTGCTCTTTCTATTACTTATCAATCGAATTGTATTGAAAATTCAATGAATATCGAAATAACTGATACAAGGGGGTTACTATTCAGTATAAAGAAGTCATTATCTTTATTTTTTTATCTTTTTGATTTTGAACGTTACGGCTTATTCCGATAAAAGTTGGGGACATAGCAACCAGTAGTCATATTTAGAATGGAAACTTTCTTATTGTGATTGTTTATTGTGTTTACCATTTTTGTGTGTCGATTTAAATATAACACCACTTGCTTAGCGTCTTAAGTTCATTGAGATCTGACAAAAAGCATTCAAGGTAGCTACTTTACTGGAATTAATATGAAGCTGTTTGAAAAGACACATTGTAAAATTGAAATGTACAACACGAAAACACTACCTTAGACAACATCTTTCGGATTTGATGACTTATTTTGTTTGTATTATAGCCAGGATACAAGTGGAAAGGTGAGGTCTACAGAAATACCACCAACTCAATGGTAAGATTGTTACATACAAACTTATTAATTTTGTTGACATTAAAATTGACTTATTAAGTTTGAACATAAGTTTGAATTTGCACGTCTTCATTATCGGATGATATAGATGAAAGGGGCGATGAAATTTTTAACTAAATCTCATTTGAATATTCTTGAATGCCGTTTATTATTTTATTAAAACATTTAGTTATAAATTGATGAAAAACGTTTAGATGAAACTATTTGAAAACAATATGTATGGGAAGTTTGTGTATATATAATCATTGAAATGATTAAAATAATTGAAAACAAAACGTTTTCATTATTTTAGTGGTCGCAAGCCAGAAGATCAATCATCTCCAAAGATAGCAGCAAAGGAAACGTAAGTATGTCCATCTTTTAAAAATGTCGAAACAGGATATATATTTTATAAATAAGTATGTTTGGGTTGCATATATTCACCAATTTAATTTTATCTTCTAGAGACCTGACAAATAACATAAAATGTATCTACTTTGCACGAGTGATCATGAAGTTGTGCCTATCGAATAAAAGAGATACGTTGTATAGATAAAACAAACAGCATAAATAAACAACACCTCTTGCAACATCTTTGGGATTTGACGATTTCTTTTTTTTTGTTTTATAGAGATGACACAGGTGAAGAGGGGAGGCCTACAGAAATACCACTAAAACAAGGGTACGAGTTTTATTCTTTGACAGATTGTTACAAACCTATTAACTGTGTTAACATTAAGATTGATCTATTAACATTGAACTTGAAATAAAAACTAGTAATCCGTATGGTTGCTGATTTATGCCATTCCGTGTTTTCTCCCGCGACCCCGCCAGGCGATAAGTCAAGTATTAACAAGTTAAAATGGCTGGGCGCGGAGGGAAAGCATACTAATTAGCGGGGCGCAGGGCATAAAGTCGAGTTTTGATTGTAATACGGCGGGGTCACAAACCGTTATATCTATTGTTATATATGGCGCTAGTTAGCGTCTTGCTGTTCGCGCCCAAGCTAAGTTATTCTTAAAAAGTCTCGATTTTTCACTCCAATTTGAATATGGGTCACCTGGGGTCAAACACTAGGTCACACAGTCGAAAGATGGAAAGCCCTTGTTAACACTCTAGTGGTCACAGTTTTGACTCAATTGTCATCAGTCTTGCTCAGAGTGCTTGTCTAAGTAATTGCTCGAATAAGTTTGAACAAAGATCATTTCGGATGAAAATCTAGGTCACGAAGCTAAAAATAGAAAAAAATATTGTCAACACTCTAGTGGCTTTTGTTCTGATCCATATATTATGAACATTGGACAGAAAGGTTATTTTAATATGCCAAATTCGAAGATGGATCACCTGGGGTTTAAAACTAGGTCACACAGCTCCAATATGGAAACACCTCTAGGCTAAGTAATTTCTCGGAAAAACTAGGTCATAAGAGCTAAGAATTGAAAAATCTTTTTAACCGTATAGTGGCTAAGGTTTTTATCCTACTATACTGAAAATTTGTCAGAAAAGTTGTTTTAATGCTTTTTAGATAAAGTTTTAATATTGGTCAAATGGGGTTTAGAACTCGGTCTCACGGCCTAACTTTTGGAAACCCTTGTTAACACTCTGGGGGGGGGGCAAATATCCTTGAATTGGTCAGAAATGTCGTTTTGATGCTTTCTGTGCCAATTTCGAATATGAGTCAGTTTGGTTTCAAAAACTATGTCACACAGCCCTACTATGGAAAAACCGTGTGTACACTCCAAAATCTACTGTTTTAATCAAATATACTGGAATTTGGTCAGACTGGTTTTTCTGATCATTTCTATGTCAAGCTCGAATATGGGTGACCTGGGATCAAAAATTTGGTCACACAGCCCACATATGCAAAAGCCTTGTTAACGCTCTAGAGGCTATTATTTTGATGCAGATATCATTGAAATTGGTCAAAAAGGTAGTTTTGATGATTTTTAAGTTAAGTTTGAATATTGGTCATCTGATGTCATAAACAAGGTCATACAACCCAAATAAAATGGGATTGAGCCTTGAGATTGATATTTAGATGAGCGATATTATAGCCATCATTGCCCTCTTGATTAACCTTTACGATAATAGTTGGTAACCAATAGTCATTTATGGAAAGAACATTTATTTATTGCCATTGCTTATTGTGTTCACCATTTTTAGTGGGGTTTTTTTTCAAAGAAGAAAATTAGTGGTATAGTAACAGTCATATCGTCGTTGCTGTTTCCGTCTGAAACTTTAAACTAGAGCAAAACTTTTTAAGTTGTTTGTATATTGTCTTCATACTTTGCCACAACATCCCTTAGGATAAGACCTTCAATTAAACAATACTAAATGTGACATTTATTCATAAATTACCTTCACCACCAATGTCAAATATTCAATAGTTGCTTGATTGCTGCTGTAAGTGGCTATTACCTTGTTATATTTGAATGTATTGTATTCATACTTGAACACAACACTATTTGATAGACCTTTAAGTTAACTATACAGACCTTGGCGTTTACAAAATAAATGTGATCTTGAAGATTCAATTATTGAAATTTTCATTTTGTTTTGCTATAACCCACTATTACTTTGATATTAATGAATGGATTACTTCATATTTAAACACAACATCCTTTAAACTTTAAAGTATATTTAATTTAAATTGGCATTGGCTCATTAATGACCTTGAACTTGAAGGTTAAATTATTGAATTTTCACTGATTCTTTTTATGATTAGCTGTTACCTGGTTATTAATGTATGGATTATCTTGGGCAAGACAACCTTTTGGACCAGATCTTCTATAACATTTCAACTCTAAATTCAGAGAAATGTTTGAACATCTTTTTATTTGCAAATGTAACAGAGACACTATAGATGAAGGAAAAGAAGGAATCTGCAAATAAACCCCACGTGACTATTCTGGAATGATATCATCATTTCATAAAAACCTTTCAAATTAGTTATGAATCGGTGGAAAGACTTGGAAAAGATATCTATGAAATTTGTTTTTAAAAATATAATTAGTTACTGAAAAGAATACACGCCGGGTGATCTATCGAAACTATAACAGTAGCAAAAGGAACAGCTAGTCTATATATGATTTAAACATTTCTTTAATTTTTGTGAGTTTACGACCCAGCAGTGCAGAGGCCTAAACGTTTGAAAACATTAAAATGGCTTTTTTATGAAATTGTTAACGTATATTTTGTCATGTAAAGATATATAAACATTAAAAATAACTTTCAGAAAAGTGTATTGTTTTCATTTTTGTGAATTTGGCAGCCAAGCGGCCTAATCTTTTCAAGTTATAGAAATTTTGACAAAACAATTAAAACGGCTTTAATTGAATTTTTTAAGACAAATCGTTTAAACAGTAAAAAACATTTTCAGTTGTCATTTTTGTGAAGTTGTCAGCCTAACGACCTGGTAGCGTAACAGCATTTAACGATTGAAGACATTTTTTGTCATACAAAAAATATAAACATGAAAAATCACTTTCAGAAAAGATTTTTTTTGTGAAGTTGGCGGCCTAGCGATCAAGCGACAAAGATTTTAATGTTCTCGGATTTTTGTTAACAAAATTTAAACGGCTATTTATTAAGCCTTGAAACATATTGTGTTATTTTAATGATAAACATTAAAACACAAATTTCATGTTTTAGACATATATCAAATATATTTGTTAACTACAACTCAAAGTCGTATATATATAATGTTAACCTATTTATTATGATTGCATATGCTTTTAAGCATTTTTGTCTATTAAGTTAGATAATATACATAAATTGCCAAGCTTCTATAGTCTTCTGAGACCTAACAAATCGTATTCAATGTAGGCAATTAACATGAATGATTATGAATTTTTGACTTGTTTCGTTTATAGCGCGGATACAAGTGAAGCTGGAAAACCTACAGAAACAACACCGAACGAAAGGTAAGAGTCTTAAACGTAACATTGTTACAAATATTCTAACATTATTTATTTTTATTTTAAGATTGAATTACGAATACAAACAGTAATACGACATTTCAACTCTTTGTATAGCATAATATTTGTGAATTACATTATTCGATATGTTTTCACAGGTATGACATGCTTGAAGGCGTAGATGGAATATGCAAATAAACTTCTCTTGATCATTCTCGAAAAACATGAGTATTTAGATATAATGCATAAGTTATTAAAACATTTTTGGTAAACATGTGTGAATATTTTCTTGGAAAAATTAGCAATTGAACAAAAATGTATTTCATTCCTTTTTAGTGATGGTAAGACAAAAGGAAAATTGAGAGCAGAAAAGAAATTGTAAGTATTTGATATAATTATTATTCATATTTTTTAAAGGGGCGTCTGTGGCTGGGCAATGTTGCTTAATTCAAGCTACTTATCCCCTCACCACAGCTGGTTCAAATCCTGTTCTTACATGTGAGGAAGTAATACAGTATCTTACGGGAACGTCGGTGGTTATACGCAGGTGCCATTTCGTGCTTGAATTGATGTACTGAGATCTTTATTCACCGGAAATCTTGAAATTTAACCAAGACTTTTGAGCTTCTGACCTAAATGTTGCATATGAAACATAGCCCTAATATGCAACACATTAATACAAACTTATTTAAAAAACATCGGTCAATGACAGTGTTTGTGGGGGCTTAAAAATGGAGACCGTTAGAAATGCTCAAAATGGAAAAAATGAAAATATGGCATCCTCGGTTTAATTAAACGTCCAACCTAACTAGCGCAATTATCTGAGCAGTTGACTTAAAAAAAGCATTGTAACACCATTATTTCTATTCCATAAAGTAATTGCTGAAGTTGTCACGTTTTCCTTCTTCGGCTTTGTCAAAACATAGTAGCTATATGAAACCTCTTTAAGATTAATGCAAACAATTTGAACTACAACAAATTTAGTTATTCGATTCATTTGTACTTCAGCCCCATTTGTCAGAGAGATGATATGCATGAAGAATCAGATTGACTATTTTAACAGACTTCACTTGATAATTCTCAGATGACACGATTATTTTATATAAACATACGTATGGAGAATCAAATGAAATTTCCGTATGTAAATGAATTTCACTTGATAATTCTAGGATGACTTGAATTGTATTATAATCCCTTTATAATATATAGTTTGTAAACACATTTTATAAATGTGTCTATAAAATTAATATTTGTAGCTAAAGTAATACTTGTCATTATTGATAGGGAGGCCAAGCCCGAAGATAAAATCGATTCTGTGTCAGCGGCAAAGGAAGAGTAAGTCTTTAATATTTGCAAAAACTATCATTTAAAGGTACATGTGTTTGTCAAACATAAATATCTTTGGCTTTTGCACATTCTTATCAATTGGAATGTGCAGAAATCTTAACAAATTAGGAAATATCTTCAAGATTGTTATGTGATGGTCAATATATTTTCATTCAATTTTCGGCTACAAACAGAAATCACCGTCTTTATTTTTCAGCTTTATTTTAATAGTTTAGACATATATCAAATATATTTGTTAACTACAACTCAAAGTCGTATATATATAATGTTAACCTATTTATTATGATTGCATATGCTTTTAAGCATTTTTGTCTATTAAGTTAGATAATATACATAAATTGCTTAGCTTCTAAAGTCCATTGAGGCCTGACAAATCGTATTCAATGTAACAAATTAACATAAATGGTTATTCATATGTGGCTTGTTTCCTTTATAGCGCGGATACAAGTGAAGTTGCGGATACAAGTGAAGTTGCGGATACAAATGAAGCTGGAAAACCTACAGAAACAACACCGAACAAAAGGTAAGAGTCTATATATATAAACTGTTACAAATATATTAACATTATTTATATTTATATTAAGATTGAATTACGAATACAAACAGTAATACGACATTTCAATTCTGTGTATAGCATAATATTTGTGAATACACTATTTGATATGTTTTAACAGATATGACATGTTTGAAGGCGTAGATGGAATATGCAAATAAACTTTACTTGATCATTTCCGAAAATCATGATTATTTAGATAAAATGCATAAGTTATAAAAAGATTAAAAAAACATTTATGGTAAACATGTGTGAGTATTTTCTTGGAAAAATCGCAATTGAACAAAAATCCATTTCATTACCTTTTAGTGATGGTAAGCCAAAAGGAAAAATGAGAGCAGGAAACGAATTGTAAGTATTTTGCTTCCGAGGGATCACTTTGTTACCAGAATTTTTATACTTCACAACAGCAGGTGACAGCTGTAAAAAGTTGCCCCGTACTTCACTTCAGTGTTGTTATATTTTCTGGTCCTTCGGGATTATTGATGCCAGCACTAATAAGTGTTGAGAATTGAGTACCGCTCAAGCCGGTGCTAGGGGGCGTGAGGGATGTTGCACATATCCATTATCCCTCATGTACAGACTCAATCAAACCGAGTCTGCAATTCTCTTGTAATTTTGTTGTGATTAATGCTTCCGAGGGATCACTTTGTTTCCAGAATTTTTTACGACTCTAGAGAAATGCAAACATTTATGTGCCATGCGGTGTTTATTGTTAAATGATTAAGCGGGCGGATTTTTGTATTTTTTCCTCTGGATCACGGAGAAATGCCGCTTTAAATTTATTTGTGGACATTTCAGTCATGTCATTATTACATCATTGTTATCTTAGGTGTATAAGTTATATGTATGTCCATTCAGTACTACAAAAACAATATTAAAGACATACAAATATAAATGTCGTTTGGCTCATACTTTTTTCAAAATAAATATTTTATATGGTATCTGATGCTGATTATTGTTTCATTTAAATTTATGAAAATGAAACAAACACTCTTTTATGAACATGCAGGATATAAAAGAAGACGTGTATTGTATGAGTACTTAACTGACCTAATAAAGCCAAAATATTACTCGGTAGAATATATTTTCATATTTATTGCTAAAAGTCATTCGTTGAAACAGTACAATATGAAAATATATTATTTTGGTTCGTTTATTCCAGTATATTGTTTTTTATAATTTTTCCTTCTTATGTGTCAGTGAACCATGCACTGTCTGAAATAGGTAAAATAAGATCTTATAGTCATATATATATGAATGATGACATACTTACAATTATTGAATGCTTGTTAGTCACTTTGGTAAGTCACTTTGGAAGTTGGGTTTAATCATAAAATCAATTAACATGTCGAGCTTCATTTAGCTTCATTTAACCAAAAAAAACACCTTAAGGGAATGTCTCGACATTTGATTAGCTCGTTTCTGGTTATAGCGTACAAGGGAAGAAGCAAAAGAATAGTATGTCTTTTATAAAAGTATGATAAATACATTAAAAATGTCAGTTTAGAAATATTTTTTGATAAAGAAAATATGCTATAGACTATTAACTATTCTTATCAATCGAATTGTAGGGAAAATTTAATGAATTTCGAAATAACGCATACATGGTAAGGGGGTTACTATTCAGTATAAAGAAGTCATTATCTTTATTTTTTTATCTTTTTGATTTTGAACGTTACGGCTTACACTGATAAAAGTTGGGGACATAGCAACCAGTAGTCATATTTAGAATGGAAACTTTCTTATTGTGATTGTTTATTGTGTTTACCATTTTTGTGTGTCGATTTAAATATAACACCACTTGCTTAGCGTCTTAAGTTCATTGAGATCTGACAAAAAGCATTCAAGGTAGCTACTTTACTGGAATTAATATGAAGCTGTTTAAAAAAACACATTGTAAAATTGAAATGTACAACACGAAAACACTACCTTAGACAACATCTTTCGGATTTGATGATTTATTTTGTTTATATTATAGCCAGGATACAAGTGGAAAGGTGAGGTCTACAGAAATACCACCAACCCAATGGTAAGATTGTTACATACAAACTTATTAATTTTGTTGACATTAAAATTGACTTATTAAGTTTGAACATAAGTTTGAATTTGCACGTCTTCATTATCGGATGATATAGATGAAAGGGGCGATGAAATTTTTAACTAAATCTCATTTGAATATTCTTGAATGCCGTTTATTATTTTATTAAAACATTTAGTTATAAATTGATGAAAAACGTTTAGATGAAACTATTTGAAAACAATATGTATGGGAAGTTTGTGTATATATAATCATTGAAATGATTAAAATAATTGAAAACAAAACGTTTTCATTATTTTAGTGGTCGCAAGCCAGAAGATCAATCATCTCCAAAGATAGCAGCAAAGGAAACGTAAGTATGTCCATCTTTTAAAAATGTCGAAACAGGATATATATTTTATCAATAAATATGTGTGGGTTGCATATATTCACCAATTTAATTTTATCTTCTGGAGACCTGACAAATAACATTAAATGTATCTACTTTGCACGAGTGATCATGAAGTTGTGCCTATCGAATAAAAGAGATACGTTGTATAGATGAAACATACAGCATTAATAAACAATACCTCAGGCAACATCTTTGGGATTTGACGATTTTTTTTTTTGTTTGTTTTATAGAGATGACACAGGTGAAGAGGGGAGGCCTACAGAAATACCACTAAAACAAGGGTACGAGTTTTATTCTTTGACAGATTGTTACAAACCTATTAGCTGTGTTACTATTAAGATTGATCTATTAACATTGAATTTGAAATAAAAACTAGTAATCCGTATGGTTGCTGAATTGTGCCATTTCGTGTTTTCTCCCCGATAGGCGATAAGTCAAGTATTAACAAGTTAAAATGGCTGGGCGCGGAGGGAAAGCATACTTATTAGCGGGGCGCAGGGCAAAAAGTAGAGTTTTGATTGTAATACGTCGGAGTCACAAACCGTTGTATCTATTATTATATATGGCGCTAGTAAGCGTCCTGTTGTTCGCGCCCCAGCCAAGTTATTCTTAAGAAGTTTCGATTTCCAGTTTGAATATGGGTCACATGGGGTCAAATACTAGGTCACACAGCCGAAAGATGGAAAACCATTGTTAACACTCTAGTGGTCACAGTTTTGACTCAATTGTCATCAATCTTGCTCAGAATGCTTGTTTTAGTAATTGCTCGAATAAATTTGAACATTTATTTATTGCCATTGCTCATTGTGTTCACCATTTTTAGTGTTGTTTTTTTTTTCAAAGAAGAAAATTAGTGCTATTGTTACAGTCATGTCGTCGTTGCTGTTTCCGTCTGAAACTTTAACCTAGAACAAAACTTTTTAAGTTGTTGGTGTATTGTCTTCATACTTTGCCACAACAACCCTTAGGATAAGGCCTTCAATAAAACAATACTTAATTTGACCTTTATTCATGAATTTCCTTTAACATCAATGTCAAATATCTAATATTTGCTTGATTTTTGCTATTAGTGGCTATTACCTTGTTATATTTGAATGAATTGTATTCATACTTGAACACAACAATATTTGATAGACCTTTAAATTAACTAGACAGACCTTGGCGTTTACAAAATAAACGTAAACTTGAAGATTAAATTATTGAAATTTTCATTTTGTTTTGCTTTAACTGACTATTACTTTGATATTAACGAATGGGTTTTTTCATATTTAAACACAACATCCTTTAGACCTTAATGTATATTTAATTTAAATTGACATTGGCTCATTAATGACCTTGACCTTGAAGATTAAATGTCAGCATTTCCACTGATTCTTGCTATGATTGGCTGTTACCTGGTTATTAATGTATGGATTATCTTGGGCAAGACAACCTTTTGAACAAGATCTTCTATAACATTTCAACTCTTTATTCAGAGAAATGTTTGAACATCTTTTTATTTGCAATTGCTATGTAACAGAGATACTTTAGATGAAGGAACAGAAGGAATCTGCAAATAAACCCCACATGACTATTCTGGAATGATATCATCATTTCATTAAAACCTTTCAAATTAGTTATGAATCGATGGAAAGACTTGGAAAAGATATCTATGAATATTGTTTTTGAAAATAGAATTAGTTACTGAAAAGAATACACGCCGGGTGATCTATCGAAACTTTAACAGTAGCAAAAGAAACAGTTAGTCTATATATAATTTAAACATTTCTTTAATTTTTGTGAGTTTACGGCCCAGCAGTGCAGAGGCCTAAACATTTGAAAACATTAAATTGGCTTTTTTATGAAATTGTTAACGTATATCTTGTCATGTAAAGATATATAAACATTAAAAAAATAACTTTCAGAAATGTGTACTGTTTTCATTTTTGTGAATTTGGCAACCAAGCGGCCTAATCTTTTCAAGTTATAGAAATTTTGACAAAACAATTAAATCGGCTTTAATTGAAGTTTTTAAGACAAATCGTTTAAACAGTAAAAACCATTTTCAGTTGCCACTTTTGGGAAGTTGTCGGCCTAACGACCTGGCAGCGTAACAGCTTTTAACGATTGAAGACATATTTTGTCATACAAAAAATATAAACATGAAAAATCACTATCAGAAAAGATTATTTTAATTTGTGAAGTTGGCGGCCTAGCGATCAAGCGACGAAGATTTTAATGTTCTCGGATTTTGTTAACAAAATTTAAACGGCTATTTATTAAGCCTTGAAACATATTGTGTTATTTTAATGATAAACATTAAAACACAAATTTCATGTTTTAGACATATATCAAATATATTTGTTAACTACAACTCAAAGTCGTATATATATAATGTTAACCTATTTATTATGATTGCATATTCTTTTAAGCATTTTGTCTAATAAGTTAGAAAATATACACAAATTGCTTTGCTTCTAAAATCCACAGAGACCTGACGAATCGTATTCAATGTAGCAAATTTACATGAATGATTATGAATATGTAATTTCTTTCGTTTATAGCGCGGATACAGGTGAAGCTGGAAAACCTACAGAGACAACACCGAACGAATGGTAAAAGTCTTATTAAACGTAAAATGTTACAAATATATTAACATTATTTATATTTATATTAAGAGTGAATTAAAAATGCAAACCGTAATACGACATTTCAACTCTGTGTATAGCATAATATTTGTGAATTACATTATTCGATATGTTTTCACAGGTATGACATGCTTGAAGGCGTAGATGAAATATGCAAATAAACTTCACTTGATCATTCTCGAAAAACATGATTATTTATTTAGATATAATGCATAAGTTATAAAAACATTTTTGGTAAACATGTGTGAATATTTTCTTGGAAAAATAGCAATTAAACAAAAAATCATTTCATTCTTTTTTAGTGATGATAATACAAACGGAAAATTGATAGCAGAAAAGGAATTGTAAGTATTTGATATAATTATTATTCATGTTTTTAAAAGTGGCATCTGTGGCTGGTCAATGTTGCTTAATTCAAGCTACTTATCCCCTCACCACAGCTTGTTCAAATCCCGTCGGAATTTTGTATTCTTACATGTGAGGAAGTAAAACAGTATCTTACGGAACGTTGGTGGTTGTTACTTGATGCTCTGAGATCGTCATCCACCAGAAAAGCTTGAAATTTGCCGTATAACATTTACTGTGTTGAAGCAACGTAAAACTTAACCCCGAAAAAATTTTAAAAAATATATGTTACATACAAAATTTGTTTCATTGTTACATATTTTCATGAATAGGAATAAGGAGTAATCTTAATGAATAACAAAATACTAACAGAAATGTAGTATAACGATTATTTAAAGCAAATAAACTTCACTTAGTTATTCTCGAATGACATAGCTTTTTGATATAATATTTTAGTTATACAGATTTTATGGAGATATTTGATAAATATGTGACAAAAGATATAAATAACATAAGATAAGTCATTGAAAATAAACGAGAAACACGCTCGAAGACAGGAAAAAAATCTTAGCAAACCTACATAAAAACTTGATATTTAAAAATGTAAACACAACAATAGATGTAGTATAACAAAATTATTGGGTCTTGCAGATGCTTATCAATTGAATGTAGAGGTATATACATGAATTATGAAATAAATTTCAGAATTGGATATGATGGAAAGCATATGATTTTATCGTTTAGCTGTGAAAAACTTCTTTAATTTGTTTTAGTGCGACAATAGTTACAATTGTTTACATAGTAACCAATAGTAAAATTTGGAATACATCTTACTGATTTTGATTGCACGCGTTTTGGGTTTTTGAGTTTGATCGATATGCCAATTGTGATTTTACTTAATTAACATATGGAATAATCGTAATGAATAAAATGAATAACGCAATATCTGCATTGGTATATAATGGAAAGCAAAAATTTAAGTTAGTGATTAGAGACAGAAATAGCAGACGTTACTGATTGCGTATTAAGATATTCAATTATGGTAGACATAAATTAAGTTTCATCTGTATACCCGTTAGGTAAACAAAATAGTTATTTTGATTGCATTGCGTTTTATGAGTAAGTTTTTTCCCTATTTGTATGTTTTCAAACAACTGAATTCATGCTTTGTCAATTAAACTATATGAAATATTTGGTACATGAACAAGCTTAGTTAAATGTTATATTTTAAATTGATAGAATATCGTTTTAGATAATGAAGATCGCAAGGTAAAATCACAAATATATCGATAATAAATCACTAACACACTTGCTCGATATTGATAATTGTGGTTTGTTAGATAGAGCTTTACGTCATATCGACACAGTAAAGGTCATGTGGCGATGTTCCAGCTTTAGTGAAGGAGAAAAACCTAGAGTGATGCCCTTCCGTGCATTATTGCAGGCACGAACCGTCACCTGAATAGAACCACCGATTTTCTGTAAGCTAGCTGTAAAGCTTCCTCACATGAAAGATTCCATAGTGACTGCCAGGACTTGAACCCACAGCGGTTAGGTGCAAGTGGTTTGAAATAAACGGCCTTAACCACTCGGCAACATACGTTTCATACCTTGGTTACTTTTATAGGTATGTTGCAAGGAGCATGAGTATTGTGGTTCTAGGTTACAAGGAAATTGCATCTTTATCAAACTATTGAAAACAATCTTTACTTTAATTGTCATTCAAACAACAAATAATTGGCTATGTTGATCGTGTTATTTTTTCATGGTGAAAAAAAATCTATAAATAATAATTTAACGAAAAGGCAATTATTTCATTACAAGATATACGTGAATGAAATCATTCAATTCATTTTCAGATTCTACAATTATCAATCAGATTTTGCGATTAATTGCAACATTGTATTAAAATTGTTATTCTAACACGACCCGCAATTTTCCCTATTGAACATAGAAGAACCGAAAGTGTGTGTTATTTTGCAATAGAGTCACTGTTTGACGTACTATATTTAGACATGTGACGTAATCGTTATACATGTGACGTAACCACTATAAAATCCGACGCGCTGACAATAAGTAAGGAAACAAATCAGGCGCAATTTTATCTAATAGCAGGTACGGCAGCATTTATTTGTTTACGTCGTGTTAGAATCGAAATAATATATCCAAATCGGTGATTTTATCGCTGGATAACATCACTGTTTGTCGTTCGGATGCGCATCATTATATCACTCGGGCTACGCCCTCGTGATATAATTCCTCGCATCCGAACTCTAAACAGTGATGTTATTGAGCGATAAAATCACAGTTTGGGATATATTATTTCTTAAACAAGAAGGGTCTTTAGGTTATGATTACTTATAGGTATTTGATATCAATAATTATGACAAACACTTTTTAGCCAGACGAAATATTATTGTGCGTGACGATAAAAAAAGTGTGGAAATTAGTTTCAACTGAACTTAGTGCTCATTAGAAATTGAGATATTTCCGCGATCAATTACAGATTTGGTTATATTTGTATGTTCTTCATTGAAATACTATATATATCATCTGTAACCTATTTGTAATAAATTTTGTTATTGTTGAAATTTGCTGCTGGCTTTTCTTTCTTGTTACACCTAGATGGTAAAAGTACTCAGATTCTTGGAAAAGAATCATTATTTGTTTCGGTTGAACTATTCAAATGTTTATGTATAATTATTTATAGTGATGATTCGTTCGATGAGATAATGCATCCTGGTAATGGAAAAAACAAAGGGTAAGTACTTTTTAACCTATAACTTTTGTTTCTTTGAAACAAATCAACAGTTAATTTTTGTTTTACTCAATACATTTAACAGATTTTTAAACCAAATAATAAGGTAGAACTTATTCAGTGACACAACAAGTTATTGCATTTATTTAGTTTATTCATTTGCACATACAGTAAGTGACAGTAAATGGTTGAATACAGGTTTGAATTTATGAATTAAAGACACATTGTTTAACAAAAAAGATATTTTTCTGAAATATATTAATGAAAATAACATACAAATCACATGTTAAAACAAGAAATTTCATTAACAGTTTGTTTTCCGTCTATTCACTCCGGTTTCAAATTCCATAAAAAATATTGGACTCTTTCATGTTTGGGAGATATCCAGCTAAGTTATGGAAGTTTAGAACTTCTACACAGATACCAGTTTTTGCCGGAAATAAGAAATTACCCACTATTTTATCTGGAAAGCCAGCGTATGACCTAATAAATGTAACTTAGAACAAAACCAAAACGTATTTTTTGCCTTTTACTAGAGCTGCGCGACAAGGAGCTGTTTTAATAAATAAAGAATATTTAAGTTTCTTCTATAAATACAGGATTTATTTTCATCGAGTGGTGTGAAAATAAATACTTCATGAGTGGCTTTTTTAACCTTATTGATAAGAAGAATTACCTTTAGATTTTGTCTGGCTGAATTTAGGCAAGATACCGGTGAAAATACGGAAAATATGTTTCACTGCAGTGAAACATATGTTTTTGATGTGGAAATACGGAAAATAAAAATACCCTTTTTATTTTATCAATATTTCTCAATATTTCATTTATATGTATATAATAAACAGGTCCCTTTGGCATGCTGGCGTCATTAACTAGCAAAAAGATAGCAGCAAAGCAAATAAAATACACCCTCTATCGCATGTACTTTTGATCCGAATATATCTAGTAATTCATTGATACAAATTAGAAGTATATATATATTTGAATGACAGGCCTCAATAACGAGCAATGCCGAGTTATCGCAGATTGGCAGGTGCCTGACAGACAAATGTCCAAAATAAAACTTCAGCAAATAGCTGTTCTCTCTTGTTAAGTTCACTGTTTCTTTTACTTCGGGACCATACGCAACGAATGTTTCACACTGACGGTTTAATGCTTACCGCCGTAGGAAAACATCGGATGATAAATAAAAAAAAAATCACCAATTTAATGTTCAAGTGTTGAATTCTGCTTTAATCGAGGACGTTGTCTGTAATTTGCAATCTATTACCGCTGCCTTCTATAAACAGACTCAGTTTACCCGAGCCAGCAACATTTTCAATTCAGCCGTCTTTAGTATTTTAAGTTTTTTTCTTATTTTGTTTTTTACTTCTCAACGTAGAGATTTTGTTTGGTCAGGATCTTATTGCAATTATGTGTAATAAACATTTTGTACAATTCTTATATTATGAAACTACATTCACAGAATAAATAATTTAAAATTTGAAAAAATGGTAATATATTTAAAGTATATTTTCCAACTCATTCAGTTACTTCTTTAGTTTATTTCTTCATTAATTTGAGGATTTTAAGAGGTCTGTTGTATTACAGGGAAATTTTACACTAGGTAAGCATTTGATTTTCGTACATGTGTTAAGCAATGTGTTCTGAATATTGAAGCAAATGCCGATAACAAAAGTAACAATAAAATACCAACGGAAAGGAACTTTTATGATTAAAGTCAAATTAGAGTATATAAAATTAAACGATATTAAATAGCATAAAATCAATCATATATAAGTGACAAAATTGTTTAGTTTAAACCAATTATATACTCAAATGTAATATGTAAATGGCTAAAATTTACCATAATACGGTGACAATCAAAGCAAAAAATCAAAACCTTGCCAAAACTCGACAATGTAACTCTATAAAAATTTGTTACTTCATCAAAGTGGGATATATACGAAAACATGAGTATTTCCTTTTGATAGCAGCGTCCATCTGATTGCCAACCTGCCATTTGCCATATATTACTGGTAAATATCTATTTGGGGTCAGCAGATGTCAAATAATAAAAAGGACCTTTTTTAATTCTGGTACTAAACCAATGGCTTTATAATAACCAAACTCTGTTTATAGTTCCTTGTTACGGTACTCCGTCTTCTAAAAATTTGAGTTGCTCTTTTAAGGGACCTGCCTTTTCTTTATATTAAAACATCTCAAAGCGCCTGGCCATGAACAGTAGGTTGAGTCGTTATTAATTGCTCTATATATTGAAACTGCAAGTTTGCTCGATCCTTTTAGCCTTTTATGTAGACATATGTAGTATTGTGTAAAGATTCTTCTTCTCGGATGTATTTCAAATTTGGTGTATGTCATCATTGTGATATTCAAACTGTACTTTGCTCAAATATTACTAATTTGACCAACTAAGGGCTCACAAGAGGTAAAAGTACAAAACCCTTTCATTTCTTCTCCAACAGATCAAATTCAATAATTGGATGGTTACCAGAACGTTCTTGTAACTTAAATAGATAGCCATCTATTATAACGTTTTCTAAATTTGATTTTGATTGACGGTTTAAAAACTAATATATATTTACTCTCGTGACTTATTGAATGAATCGGATCAAGGGTCACTATACAATTATTTTTAGATATCTTTCATAATCATTTTGGATAATCTTACAGATGATTGCTCGTCAGATTTAGTCTGTAAACTTTTGGGGAGTTCTTCAAATTGCTTTAAAACTTTAGATCAGTTATCTGTAGAAGACACTAGAGCTGACGGAGAATCAATGAGAACAAATGAGATAAAGAAATATACATCACACGAGGACATAATAATTGAAAGAAGATCTGTGCAATTACCCATTCAAACTGGAATACCATTTTTTACGTTCAAATTGATTTGAATTTTTATTGCTGTGTCAACTAAGATTTTTCGGTCAGATATTTTTGCGTATCAGACCTTTCTTTTGTTTTACACATGCCGGAAATTCTATCGAGCTTTGGAATGCACGACGAGTTGCGTGTTATACAATAACATTTTAATCGAACTTTATGAATGAGCCGCGTAAAAATATATCAGACATGTATTTGCGGATCAGGTTTGAATATCTGTCTCGTGGAAACCCGCCCATGGTGAGGTAACAAGGCTTGCAACAAATGACAGATATTATTATTCATTCTAAAATATATAAGATATAATGTTTTATAATTCTGATATCAAATATGAGTAGTAACCTTCAATGCATTGCTACATAGTTTTTATTGCGTACACACACAAAAAAACAGAATTGTATTTTTATGTATACATGTATACAAGTCTTACTGACAAAGACGGTAGATCAACATAGGTAAATATATTGGACAAAAACAAAAATTATACTAATTGTCCAGAGGTTATGAACAGGCTAAATCAAACCGAGCCTGCAACATTTACAATTTTGTCGTTTTGAACTTTCTTTAGGGTTCTTTTTTCCCTCTCTGTTGTATAAGTTAACTTTCAAAAACGAACCTTTTGTTAGTAAACGAGTATTTGTTTCAGTAAATTCGGTTATTGTCTTAAATGTAAAAAGACATATCACAAAGCAAGTTACAGGAACTATGTATAGTTAAATTAAAAAAATATTATCGTCTCTATCTTCAAATAGGTTTACAAATTGAGCTACATGTATTTAATAAAAGATATTAAGCCGATTGCAATGTATGGAGTTGAAATCCGAAGAATTTTTAATCTCGACATCATGGGACAAGTACAATTAAGGTGTTTAAAACTTATTCTTAGGGTATGGTTAACGAGTTATGAACTCTTTTCTGATCTAAAACCTGCTATAAGAAGGGCTCTTTTTCCGGAATGAGGGCACACTAAATAATGTCTAATATCATCATTTTGTAAAATGTTTTCCTATTGATCTTTCTTATAAAACAAGTAATAGCATTCAGGTGCCACACCACAATTGCAAAATGATTTCTTTTCAACTCAAAATGTTTGAAATATGTCAAAGATATACACAAAATTTAAACTAAATTTTATATCAGGTACTATATTTTATAAGCTCACTAGGACCGAAGGTTCAGGGTGAGCCATTAGTATCAAAGGGGGATACTTCGGCGTCCGGGGTCCATGCGATATGCGTCAAAATCATCTTCTCTGAAACTGATGGGCAGATTAACCTCAAATTTGGTCTGTAGCATCTTTGTGACACACTTTAATTTTCTCATGCCATTTCAATTGTTTCCTTTGAGGGGTCAACAAAGCTAAAAATGGAAAAAACCCGTAAACATCTTCTTCTACTAAATTAAATAATGGATGATCATCAAAATTTGTTTGTAGCATTCTTAGGTAGTCATGTATCAAATTTGTTCATTTTAATTTGATTTGCCCATTTTAGGGGTCTCTAGAGCTAAAAATAGAAAAAAAAACATTTAGACATCTTCTACAGAACTAATTGATGGATGATCACCAAACTTTGTCTGTAGCATTCTTAGGTAGTCTTTTTTTAAGTTTGCTCATTCAATTTGATTTGCCCCTTTTAGGGGCCGCTAAAGCTAAAAATAGACATACCTTTAAACGTCTCCTTCTACAGAAGTAATTGATGGATGGTCACCAAATTTTGTCTGTAGCATTCTTAGGTAGTGTTTTATCATGTTTGCTCATATAACATTTGATTGGCCCCTTCTAGAGGCTGCTAAAGCTATAAGTAGAAAAACGTTAGAACATAATCTTTTTCTGAAATAATTGATAACTTTGCCTGTAGCATTATCAGGCAGTGCTTTATCATGTTTGCTCATATTAATTTGATTGGTCCCTTTTAGGGACAGCTAAAGCTTAAAATAGAAAAACCTTTGAAAATTATCTCCTACTGAAATAATTGGTGGATGATCACCAAACTTTGTCTGTAGCATTCTTAGGTATTCTTTCATCTTTTACCGAAAGCTGTTGTTTCAAGTGAGCGACACAGGGCCATAAGTGCACTCTTGTGTTATTGAATTTGGCCTAGTTTAGCAAATAAATA